CACAGAAGAGTTTGTTTGTTTTGAATTCCGCGCAAAGCTCCACGAGGGCTTTCAGCACTAGCCGTCCCTAATTTAGCAGTGTAAGACTAGAGAGAAGGCAGCTAGTCATCACCACCCACCGCCAACTCTTGGGCTACTCTTTTACCAACGAATAGTGGGATTGACCGTCCAATTATAACGCCTCCCGACTGAAACAGCGACCTTCAAATTGCAAGTCGAGCTTCCTGACCACCTGGCCATGACCGGCCTAAAAGGAGTAGAGCAAATGAACGAGGAAATTGAAGTAAAATTTGAGGAATGATTGCAGGAAGGAAAACTTATAGTCTTGTAAGAGATATAGATGGAAGGACTGAAAAGAAAAATAAGAATATGAGGTGGAATAGGTAGAAGGTATGGGATATCTATGGAACGGGTGGAGAAAATCAGAAGATCAATAATTGAACGGATTAGGGGTAAAGTTTAATGAATTTTGTGAATCTTGAGGATTGATGATGTTGGACAGAAAAATGAATGAGGTATATAAGAACAAAAGAAGCTACTGTGATGGAGTATACAATTAAAAAGAAGAAACAGAATCAATGATTAGTGACTACAAAGCACGTTCACACCAACAGTATGAATGATTGGATGGATGATGGTAGAAAATAGGATATAATCCGATCATATGCCAATTGCAATGCGGAATAGAAAATAACAGGAAGGTGAAATGAAAAAATATAAAATATGTAACTTGGAATTGGAGAGAGATTAAAGAAAAAAACTGCTTTGAAGAGAAAAGAAAAGTGTATGGGAATAAAGGCGATAAATAAAGGAAACCAGGAAAAGTTTTGGAGAAGATTAAAATGGCTTGGAAAATGGTTGTAGAGAGAGTAGGAAATGAAATGTCAAACGAGAAGAGGAAATACGTGGTTTGAACAAGAGTGTAAAGACCAAAAAAGAAATAGAAGTAAGGAAGCAATTGAAAACATTTGAATGACAGGAGAACAAAGAGAGAGAGAAAAAATATGTTAAACAAGAAAGGAATTGAAGGAACTCTCTCTCTCTATCTATCGTGATGTGTTTCTAGAGTGCATGCTATGAATATGGAATCAGATTGTTTGGATAGAAGGCAAACGATTCCTACCTATGCTGTAAATTTAAACAAAAAATAAAAACAAAACCTTCGCACGATAGTATGATTTCCGTTTTTATGAGCATATATGAAGTTTGCTGCCATATTGTCTTGGAATCTAATTACTTACTGCGCCATCTGTTGACATTCAGGAGCTTAATACTATACTAAACACCCTTTAAGATAGCTGTAAAATTTTGTATTGTATAATTTTTAGTAATAGTAAATAGTGTTCTGAGTTAATACATTTTGTTAAAAGTGAAAAATTGGGTTTCTTTAAGAATAATACATTTTAGTATGTTTTACTATACTAAGCAGAATTAAGGAACTCACTGACTTAAACAATGCTTGTTTCTATGATGATGGAAATTCACAAATTCAGTCTATCTAGTGTCTAAATAGAGATCAGCGCCAATACCGATCGATACGACGACCAAACATGCTAGACGATTTGAGTCTTGTATCGATTTTCTTGAATCTTAGGGTGGGGTAGAACTTGAAGTGGCTGAGAATACTGAGTGAGTCTCTAACGAGTTTTTGTATTTTTTTATCGTGCCTGTTACCATCTAATGAAAAATGTTTTAGTATATTTTATCATATTATGGCTAGTTAAGTCAAACAATGGCCTTATGGTGACACAGTCATCGAACAGCTTCCTTTATTTTGGTTGTTTGCCAAAATTAATGATCCAGAGGTTTATTCTTAATTGTTTGTTTACTTAAGTTTATCAAATATTATAGTGTATTCGCGTTTTCAAGATAGCCAAGCGTAATCATAATCAGTTATATTTGTCATAAGCCAATAGTATTAGGCTTATTGTACTTTTTAAACATTATATTTTTCATTCCGTCCCTTAGGAGTATAATATTATTTCAACTATACTATGTCCACCATATCCATTTTAGACGACGCGTTTCGCCCAATACGAGTCAGCCAGCCTGATGAGATCGTTTCTATGAGGTGTTTTAGATGTTCGTATGCATAGAAATATAGATTATGATTAAACAACAAATCTTGTAAATCAAACTTGTCAGATATGTTAATGTGCATAAACAAATAGTAACGAACTTGAGAGAAAGGAAAATGCAACAGAAACTACCAAGACGCCGTACGGAAATAGCGATCTAAATTACTTCTAACAGATAATGAATTTAAACGAAATATAGAACGTTTGTGTCATGAAGTACTTTCGAGTCATTCGAGCATCTTTGATCATCTAGGAAACATTTTGTATTTGTAGCTTTAGTAGCAGCAGGAATGTTATAAATAAATAAACGAAATAAATTCTTTGTTAAGTGAGTAAAACAATTAAAAACATTATAATAAAAATAGAAAGTTTGCGAAAGATCATATGAAGAAATTAATAGCATAGAACTGAAGTCAAGGGTCTTAGAAATAAAGAAACACTATGAAATGGCGATGAAGAAACGAAACAGTAAAAGTACTTTTTTTCAGTTATTTACAATTTTCCGCTGGCTAATGACTCTTCTAACATGAAATGATTGGTAAAAGGTGAACTTATAAAGTTATTAGGGCATTCCTTTTAGTGCTTCTCCGACAGACGACTTACCATTATAGATATAGCAACTTTTTTGAACGCGCCTAGTTCTTGAATGGATTTCATAGTTATAGTTTAAAAGAATAAGAGTGAGGTGGAGTAGCATTACGCTCCCTCTCGAAAGAGCTTTTTGTGTAGATTTTCAATAGCCGTTATAGCTAGTCTGGTATAACGCTAATTAGCACTTAAGATAGGGAAGAAAGACGCCTTTTTGTAACTTCAATGTTCAAGAATTAATGGTGAAGACAGTTTCATGTTTGGCTACATGAAATCTTCTTTCATCGTTGAGAAACGTCTTTTGTAATGCCACACAGGAGGGTTGTGGTGACTAGCATTATAGAAGGTGCATTTATCTTCTTTTACGTTTAACTAGGAAAAGGTATAGGATATTATATAATTTTGTACATACACATTATGATAAACTCGTGTGTGTGTATACATACGTTTCTAAATGAGTGTAGGAATGAAAGGGCGTTCACCCTAGAAGTGAGAGTAGACAGAAATAAAACCTCTGAGGTCATAGGAGTGACAAAGTTGATACCGTGATGTCATGCAACGGATAAAAAAGTCGAAGTGGAAAGGATGAGTAAGGAAATACCTCGAAATAGTACATGTGATGAAATCTTTGGCTAAATAGAAAATAACATATTAGGGAGCAATATATATATATATGTGTATGTATGTATATGTGAGAGGAGAGAAGCAACAAGGAGGAAGACGAACTAGAAAAAGTTAAGAGAAAGAAAGAGTACAATTTATCGACAGATCCAGCAGACAAAACGTGGTGTTTTGTGACGGACCAAAAATATGACCCCTATTAGCCGATATACTAGTATACGCGAGCGCCCTTGAAGTTGACATTGAATCAATGAATTTGGATTGGGTGTTCGGTAACAATAAATAAATGCAAGATAATACATGTGGGTTATCATAATTTGAATTATAAGTATAATTTGGATGGCCCTTTCCTTCATAACACTGTTAAGGTTATTCATCTTGGTGTAATAGTTGATCAGTCTCTAAAGCCATCCAAGCAGTATGCTGTTGCTAGTGGTAGGGTAAATAGGATTGTAGGTTGTATTTATAGAAATATTGAATACAAGTCTAAAGAGGTTATACTTTCATTGTACAGGTCACTGGTTAGGCAACATTTGGAATATTGTATTCAGTCTTAGGCTCCTTACATTAGGAAAGACATTGAATTATTGGAAAGGGTTCAGAGAAGGGTTACTAGAATGATGCCTTGGATGGAGGGGTTGTCATATGAGAAGCTGAAATCCCTCAAATTGTTTTCTCTTGAAATTGGTAGTGTTGATGCATCGTCTTTTTTCATATTTAACAGTGAGAATAGTATGACTAGGGACACAAATATAAATTTTGGTAAAGTAGGAGTCATCTTCAGCTATGACAGTTTTATTTTTTTGACAGGGTGGTTGGCCTTTGGAATGGGTTACTTTCTGATGTTGTAGAGGCAGTAAATTTAAGTGAGTTTAAGAAAAAGCTTGATAAGTATATGAATGAAAAGTGCTGGCTTGAAGATTTCGTTTAGAGGATGGAACAGCCGAGATGAACCAGTAGGTCCCATGTTGCCCCAAAATGTTATGTTAGGTTAGGATTTAAGAGTCATAATTGTTTGATATTTTAAATGTATTCAATCTTGTGTTGTTAATAGTAGAATAAATATGAAATGGCTTTTTTAAGTAGAGTGTACATCTATATAGTTCTTCATGATAAAGTCAAAAACCACATTTTTAGAATAAAATTCAAATAATCCACTTTTTTGCTTGTAATATGTATGTATATTTGAAAAATACCAAAAAAATGTAACTTTATGACAAACAATTAAAATCCACTAAATTCTCAGTTGATGGTGAAGTGCTAAGTCTTAAAGAAAATTGATTGCATTGTGAATTTTTTTATGTTAATGTATGGTTAAGATTATTAATCTTTTTTATTATATTGTTAATGTTGATTATAGTTATGTATTATAGATTTGCTCCAAGCCTGATCCATAACATTGGACATATGGTATGATTAAGCAGGGATTTAATTTTGAAGATGTTTTGACAGAACACCACATAAAAAAAATAGACGTGAAACCCAAGTTGAAGAGTTTCATTTTTAAGTTAGAACCCGATGTTCAGGAAAAAAACTGATAAGATATACTGATCAGAATTTTTGGTTTTTAACAGAATAATTTCTAAGCTTAGGAAGTATTTATGGTGCTGTAATTGTTTGTGTTTGATACTTACCTGAATTTGCAAGCAAGGTTAATTTCTGGTTTTTGTATAATTTCTATATATTTATAAATTATGCATTTATTCTTTAAAGGTCAAATAACTGCAGCAGGAAAAGTCCCTCCTGCAAAAGTGTTGGTTATAGGAGGTGGTGTTGCTGGTCTTGCAGCAATAGGAACAGCCAAAAGCATGGGAGCTATAGTTCGTGCTTTTGACACCAGGGCAGCTGTCAAGGAGCAAGTTGAATCTTTTGGAGCTGAATTTTTAGAATTAAACGTAAAGGTAAAGTATGAATTTAATGAAAAAAATGGTGCCTTATCTCACATTTTTGCATATTGAATCATTTGATTATTATTGGAAAATTTTGCTTTGGTATCTCTGTTGTACCTCATATTTATGTTAATATACTTTTCAAATTCTTGGTTACATTTGTGAAACTCAAGAAGAAGAAAAAGAGAAGTTAATTCTATCACTGTTTTCAAAATCAATTGACATGATTCATTTTAACCTCAGGTAACTAATAACCAGGGATTTTAATATTTTTGAATTGGATGATAGATGTGTTGCTATAAAAAGAATATGTGCCACATGTGTGAGGTAACACTTTATTATAGTATTAAACTAGTTAGTTCTTTTCTTTTTTTATTTGAGTGAGTGGCCATTGCAGGTTCTTTAAGGTTATAAGGTACAGTAGAACCTTGACATTAAGGGCACTTTTCTGACTGCATCTAAATGCCCTCTATAGCATGGAACTCTTAATATCAAAAATGAGCCACGCAAAGCTGGATTCCTTATTAACCCTTCTGAATTTTAAGGCCCCTCCCATCTTGTTTGGTGTATGCATTTAACCCTATCTGCCCAGGCTTCATTTACTGTGCATGTCATAAAGTTTTAGTGACTTGTATTCAAAATTTTACTAAACTACTTTTTATTTATGTTATACCAATTAGTGTAGCATAAAATCTTAGCTAATAATCCAAATTTTAATCATTTACAAGTTTTAAGTTCTTAATTTTGTAAGTCAACATTTAAAAAAATACTGAATTTCTCCTAGTGTGACACACGTAATACATTTTGTCTAGGCATCTCCTCTTCTCTACTTTATTCACCACCCCTTCTTTAGGTTAGTTAAAGTTAGATTAGGTAAAATAAATAATAATAATATAATAAAAATGTTTCATGAGGCATGCAAGCAAGCAGCTCGTGGGTAACATAATTTGATAGCATAACATGAGCTGCACATTCCCCCAAGTGATTTAAAACTTATAATGGTGTGAATAGTAGTTTATTCAAAGGGCAATAAAGTTTAATTATAAATAGATGTATACTGTTACAAGTTTAAAGCTACTTGGGATAAACGCATGTAGTTTCATGTTACAATTTGAAGTCATTCTAGAAAGAAAAAAAATGGTTATTGAGATTCATTTAAATTTTTTGTGTGTGGTTACGAGGTCAGTCAAATTGACTAATCGTATATAGAATAGAGGAAATAACAGATAAAATATAAAGTTTTACTGAAAACAAACATTTGAAATGTATTTATGAGATCTTAGAGATTACACAAACAAAATTTGAGATTTTTAGATGAAGAAAAGTATTTTTAATCTTAACATGAAAAATCACTTTGTACACAGAATATTAAAACAAATAGTGTTGAAAAACTTGATATATTCATGGACAAATTTTGTGTAGTTTATTAAAAAATACTTCACTAAAGAATATGATTTTTTGTATGTGAAAGACTTATAATGTTTACTGAAAGACTGCCAAATTTTGTGAAATTAAAAGTTAGTAGTATCAAATCTATAAAGACTAAATGAGTAGGGAAGAGGTCATGAAGTCAGTCAAATTGACCGAGCCCATATTGAGAGAGTTAAAGCTATTTTGTTACATGTTGGTGTCTGTTGCGATTTTCAATTTTGTTAGTACAGCCTGAAGAAACTGTCTTCTGTAGAGGGACTTCATGGTTTTAATGATACCCTGGTTGTGGGGTTGTAGGATTGAGGTGAAATTAGGAAGAAGGAACAGGATACAGGTGTTTGTGAGTTCCATGTCAACAAACAGGAGAATGTTCTGGCTTTGCAAGTGGATCTTTTGGTCGAAGCACTTCAGCCATTCTTCATAGAGATTGCAGGTCATGTCTTTCAATTCCATCTGTAGGTTACTGGGAGGGTGGTTCTCTGCATGTTATGAAAGCAAAGGGAATTTTCTTGATGACTGATAACCAATGGCTTTTCAAACTCTCCCATCGCATTAATGCACAGTGCACCACATGCAACAAGCAATCGACCTGGCAACGTGCGATAAAATAGGCCAGTTTTATCCATGTTGAAAATGTCTTTTTCATGGTAACCTGTGATCAAAGATGGAAAATGCTGCCACCATTTGTGGACAGTGTCTGGATTGACGCTTGATTTTTCTCTATTTTGAAAGAACTCCCTTGCTTATCAGATGCTTTGTTTTCAAGTTATTCAGCCAACCATTTGATGCTTTGAATTCAGTGATGTCAAAATCTACTACAAAAATACTTCAAAAACAAAGATTTGGAGTGCTTTCAGTGTTATGAGTAATAGTAAAGTTCTTTAATAAAGTTTTGAAAATAACTCTCTAGAATGAGACTAAAGACACTTCCCTTAATATGGAATATTGAGGTACCTGTTATTACAAGATTTATTTTGGTTACAAATAGTAGAAAAAAGAAAGAAACTGAAAAGGTTTGCTCTTAATGGCACAGTGCCCATTAATTGAGATTGTACTGTACATGGCAGTGTGAGTCAGTACAGCATGTTTGAATTATGTTTAAAATTTCTGTTGCTGACATTACCTTGACCATCTGTAGCATACAGGAGCAAGAAACTCATCAAAGTAACATAACTATTATAATACAGATGATGTATTAAAATATATTCAACAAACAATAGAATAAGTACAAATGGTAGAAAAACTGACATTCAAGCAATATTTGGTGTGGAAAAAAGGGACATGAATAAAAAGCTGGAAGGAATGTGGTCACAGAGATTGAGACGTGCATGTAATTATTCATATTTTAGTATATGCAGAAAGTAAGCTATGGTTTCAAATGCTTAAAAGAAGGTTTGCTTTAGAATGCTAAGGGTTAAACATGATTATTAGTCAATTTTGATCAAGATGGAAAATTTATGATTTAATGAAATGATACGAGGTGAAGTGAGAAATGGATTAAAGTAACAAGTGAATATGAGGTAATCCAATGATATAAAATTTAATACTGTTGTTTATATGTCATTTGTACAAACACGTAATGAGTTATTGGTTACTTTTCAAAAACTAGTTTTAGGTGAATTTCGGGTTTTAATTTTTTTTTTCAAGAAAATAGTTCACTAATTTCACAGTTTATGACTCAATTTCTTCAGGAATCTGGTGAAGGAGTGGGTGGTTATGCAAAGGAAATGTCAAAAGAGTTTATTGAAGCTGAGATGGAATTATTTGCTAAACAGTGTAAAGAAATTGATGTACTAATCACCACAGCTCTTATACCTGGAAAGCCAGCTCCAAAACTTATTTCAAAGGTATCCTTTCATTGTTTTTCAACACTTATTATATATAAGTATCAAAAAGAATCATTTCCAGTACATATCTTCAAGAGATTGAAATTAGTTATGGATAACATGATTAAGTATTAGGTTGTTTCTGCTGTGGCAGTAACAACATTGAATGTTTTGAATGATAATAGAAAGTTACTGTGTGTGTATTTGTATATGCAGATTCAAAAAAATCTGAGATGGGTTAATTATTATTAAACCTCATTTCTCAGCTTCCATTTTAGTATTGATTTATTGTTTTTGAGAAAAATGTGAAAAATCTAACTATTGGAAATGAATTATGGTATTCCAAATTAATGTTTTATGAACAAAGGATACTTTTGTTCTTGGTGGACATGTTTACTAATATAAACAAGAGTATTAAAAATTATGAATTTAAAATGAAGTAGGGATCTTGCTACAAATAGTAATGAAGCAAGAATTAAAACCATAATCACAAATTATAAAATATAGTCCTTATTTTGGCCTAAGATAAGTGTATAAAGCTGCCAAAGTTGGGATTAAATTTTATAAATTTGTGATTGTGATTTTAATTTTTGTTTCAATACTTTTTGTAGCAAGATCCCTACTTCATTTTAAGATTCATATTTTTTTTAATACTCTTGTTTGTTTACTTTTTTATATTATACCTGTATAAACTATATAATTTACATTTAGGAACTGTAGCGCGTCTATCCATTGATATGTTGCACCATTTGTTGAGTTAAATTGGGTTGAAAAGATATTTAAGTGTGTGCATGAGATATTTACTATTTATATTATACCTGTATATTTATATATGGATTTTTATTGGAAAGGCAAAAGCAGAAGGCCACCATTGATCCAAGTACTGTGAGAGAATATTGGACCAAATGGGTTAGTTGTTTTTGCTTTAAGCTCTCTGATGTGATCAGTCAGTCAGCCGAAATAGTCATTGCTTTAGAAATTTAAAAACTTGTAGCGGGGCGATTTTCGATCCTCTTGCCACATATAAATAGAGGTACCATGTTGTTTTTATTGTGTCTATGTATCCCTCTAGGTTTTTGGTGGAAGAGATTTTTATAAGGCAGTTTTTGGGAAAGCATTATTTTTCAGCTGCCATGTTTTTCCTTGTCAATACCTACTATTAAGTGCTACCATACTTAATGATAATTCAAGGTGAGTATTAATTTAAATGTAGTTCATGATTCTCAAAGAATAGATACGTCATTTACACTTGCTTGTACCTCTGTAGACCTGATGAAGGCAGAGCAAACCCAATTCTGCTGAAACATAAATCTTGAGTCAATCCTGTCTGAGTTAACCCTCCATTAAAAGTAACCATTGAACTAACTGCAATCAACCAAATCTATTAAAGATGTATTTCATGTTTATTTAATGATATTTATAAAGAATGTAAATCCTGTTTTCAGGAAATGGTAGAGTCAATGAAACCTGGATCAGTTATTGTTGACTTGGCTGCAGAAGCAGGTGGAAATGTTGCCACAATCAAACCTGGTGAAGTTAGTGTGTACAATGATGTAATTCATATAGGATATACAGACTTGCCTAGTCGTCTTCCTACTCAGTCTTCTACACTATATGCCAACAACATCTCAAAGTTTCTTATGTCCATAGGTAGTAGACTTTTGTTCTCCTTGTATATAATGCTAAAGCAGAAGTGGGAATAAACTGTGGTCTATTTTTTTTTACCAGCAAAAACCTAAAGTAAAATATTTGAATACAGGGAATACTGAACATATTTCATGCACTGATAATGATTTGGAGGATGCATTGCATGTAAAATTAATGTGATAGAGAACTAGAAAACACCAATGTTGTATTAAACAAAGAAAGAAAAAGTTTAAAATTCAGGTATATAGGGCTGTGCCAAACAAATATTTTTGTAACGGAAGATTCTGTAGATTATTACATCAAATAATGGATTAATTTCAGGACCATCATTTAAATATACATAGATTCAATGGGAAGTATTTTCCATGCTTGTGATGAGAAAGGAATATAAATGATTGGGAAGTAACTTAAGTGTTTTACAAATATTCAAAAAATTATTTGTTTATCTCTTGTATGATTTTCAACCATCACTCTACAAGTTCAAACAAAAATTGCTAATGTAATTTATAGGTTTGGCAGGAAAAACCCTTACCCATACATTTTTGTGCTCATCCCCTGCTCATTTTTATATCGGGTATTTTCCTAAATATTAATTATCTTCACAAATAAATAATAATTTATTGAATAAGGTTATTACTTAAATGTAGAAACTATGAATGCATATTTTTTAGGATTTTGGTGTTTTTAATAATTAATAAACAAAATTAAGATGATAAAAATTTGTTACAAAAATTTACAGAAATTTATGTATAATCTCTGAATTTTTGAAATAGGAAATGTAATGATATTAAAACAGATTGCAAATCATTTTGAATCCCCTGGTGGGACAGTGGTAAGTTTACAGATTTACAAAGATAAAACAATCCAGGGTTTGATTCCTCATGGTTGACACAGAAAATAACCCAGTGTCGCTTTGCTCTGAAACAAACAAGCAAGCAAGCAAATTGCTTTGAAGTAACATTTTGCTAGTTTGTTGAAATTAATGAATTACTTATTTCAACTGCTCGTCTTTATCCCAACATACAATAAATCAATTTTGAAAAGGAAAATAGACCAAGTTAAATATCATATAGTTGTTTTATTCTATGAAGTCTTTAGTAGCATGGTTAATATTCCAAGCATGAACACACATGCCACTATTCTGGTGATAGTATATTACGTTTTGTTTATTGGGATGATATTGTGTAATCATATTAATTTATATTAACTAGATATTACAAAGATATAAATCATTTTTAAATGTTGAATGATATAAAAAAATGAGTTAATTCCAGCTTTTCTTCAGAAAGTGTTATTTTTTTGACAGACACTGAGCCAAATCATATATAAGAATTAGTGTTACCGTAATGATTATCTTTACATGTTATAATGACAATATAACTGATTATCAGTTATTACTGTATGTTGCTTACCTTTCAGAGTTAGTTCTGTGATCTGTAAAAGTTGTTGGCTGTCTTCTTTTAACGTGCTCCACCATAGAAGTAGTGTTGTAACTGTATGTTAGCTGCATTTTGCTTATAGTGAATTTTACAAATTTATTGTTAGGAGGGTAAGAAATAATGGTTCCACACAAGAAATGATTTGGTTCTGTTAGCAGATGTGGCCATTGCTATTGCACTAAGTAACATATTATGACTTTGTACACAACTGCTTCTGTCACTGGTGTGCAAGTGACAAAATCATGTGATGAAATTACAAATGTTCTTGGAAAGAAATGTCAGGATTTAAACAGTTATTCAAATATCTTTATAAAGTTTTTTAATGAAATAATTGATTATAATCAGTTTTTCAATTATAAAAACCTCAAAGAGTATTAGCCAAGTCCACTTATATTGAGTGTGATAGTGTAATTGTATAATTATAAAGATATTAAGTAGCTTTTGTGCTATAAAATAAAGTGAAGGATTTTAAAGTGTATATCCATACAGTACCCATGCACAGTTGCCATAACATTTGCCTCATAAAACATACAGCTTTTGCTTCTACAAATGATCTTATTAAAATTATATAATGCCTTTCATTTGTCTCTGATTGTTTTGTATTTGCCAGTTTTACAAGCATCTTTTTGTGATTGTTGAAGCTTCAGCTATTTGATATAACACAGAAACATACATTTATCTAACTTAGAAAATATATTAAATGCTATAGCTGCTGTTAGGCTTATTTTGCCATGGGCAGGTAAATTGCAAAAAAAATCATCTAAGATAATTATGAAAATAATGGGTGTGACAGTTTTTCTGACCAAACTTTTTTAGTGTACTTTTTACATGTACAATGTAACAATGCTCATATAAACATAATTTATTACACTTTTATCTTTAGCAGCAACACGAAATATTTGAACACTGCCAAGGTGACTAAATTCAAGTAGTTACAAACAACTTTTATCTAATCCTAATAGTTTTAGAATAATTATACATTTTAAACACTTTGGTTTTCCAGTAAGTATTCCCATAAAAGTAATTTTTAAATAGTGATTTCTTCAAATAATGAGTATTTTTGGTTAATTTTGAATGAAATGAATAAGAAGAACCCAGTTTAGGCTTAAAAGTTTATAAAACTAATATGTTTATACTAACTACTCTGTAGATTAAGCGGAGTGTTTGTGTACATGACAGTTTTTAACACATAATTAGAAACACTTAAAATAAAAACTAGAAAAAGATGGAGGTTTCTAAATGTTTTCTAATGCTTAAAGTAATTGTAAACTACTACAATTAATATCTGTGATACTGTATTTCATAGATTTTTTAGGTTCTTAGTGATTAGGTTGATAAACATAATTAGGAAAGATTTTGAAAAATACATTTAAAACCAAAGGAGTTATAAAATAATGTTTGTAGCTTTTTAAGAAAACAAGTTTGTTCTTTTGTTATAGAAAGGAAGCTAATTTCTTATAAAATTAATTTTTTTCTGTTACATTATTTTAATATTTGTTATATTTTAGATTATCCTTTTTATTTTATTCTGTTTTTAAGCAGACAGATTATAACTGTGTTTTTTTTTTTCTCTTTTCTGCATAAGTTGTTTCCAAGTACTGGTAAGTCTTTTTTTTTTGATGTATTAGAAATTACTCTGCTGACTTGTATTTATTTTAGGCCTAATAATTTATTTCCTAAGTTTTTATACTAAGTGTAATGTATAGTTTGCTTATACTTTTGACAAGATTGAAACACCTGCTTTACTGATGTAAAACAGTGTTGTTGCAGTAAATTATAATAAAAACTTTTCTTTATCTTTTGTAGGTTCAAAAAACCATTACCATATAGACCTAGAAGATGAAGTAGTTAGAGGATCAATCGTCCTACAAGAAGGCAAACTTTTGTGGCCACCACCACCACCAAAAGTAGAACCCATTCAGGAGGCAGCACAACCTCCTGTTGCTGTTGAGAAACCTAAACCTCCTGAGCCAAACTACTTCAATATCACTCTGAAAGACTCACTGAAGTATACTTCAGGTGTTGTCAGCTTAGATTTGTAAAATAGAGAACTGTAATCAATTTTGTTAGAATGACTAAGATTGATAAATACTATTACAATTGTGGATTAACTTCAGAGTAAATGATAGAAACTAAAAACTGGCTATGGAAAGCATAATCTTGGAATATGTATACTTAATGCACAAAATGTAGACTTTTTAATATGTTTGCTTTAAAATCTACTTTTTTAAAGTAAAAATATCACACTGACCTAGAAATGCAATTAAAAATTACAGCTGTATGTAGCCTGTAAACTTGTAAGAGACATTTGCATTAACTTTTGAAAATACAAAAATACAAATAGTGTTTCAAAAAGTATTAAAGTATGCCTTTTTTTATTGTACTAAGAATATGTTTATGCATAAAGTATTATCTTTTTTTACCCAAATAATGAAGCATTTATATAAACATTTCTGTTGTTTTTTTTTGGGGGGGGGGATATATAAATTAAGACTTGCAGGGTATCCATGAACCTGGAAAGGCTAAGAAAAGTCTGTAAATTTATATAAGGGATCAAAAAGTCAGGAAAAATTTAAAAGTTATCCCAAGTTCTAGAAACTTCAGTGGAAATTGTACCCCTTTTATCTCAGAATTTGCATAGATACATAAACTGTGCTACTTAGCTATGCCAATCATTTGTTTATTTTAACATATAATTTTGGGCTGTCACTTGTATGTTGTTTTGTTTGGTGGTAATTCATTGTAGTTGATGATAGATTACATATTTGTTTTATGAATAAAGATAGAACATTTCGTTGTCCACCATCAAGTTGTAATGTTCTTGTGTAAAGAATATATTTTACTGTAGTAACATAGTCTGAAATATATAATTTCTAAAGTGATGTTGATTATGAGGAAAGATTGTATGTCAATGGGTTGTGTGTGTAGGTAGAAAAAAAATCAAGAATTTTAGCAAGAAAGTGGGGAAAATTGAAGAAAAATTTTGGAAAGAATGAGGCTATTTTTTTTATTATTATTATAAGGCTGTAACATTAAAGGTGGCAAGCAGTGAGGCTTCTTTTTAGGGTATAAACAAGAGATTAAAATCACACTGGACTGCAAGTGGTTTTTTTCCCTCCTTTAAATTATTTTTAATGAGTCTTTTATGGATTTTGAATTAGAGATTTGTGAAAATAGCATTTGATGCTAAGTTTTATCTGCCATATAAAGTCTGCCCAGAAGTATTTCATTCAACGTTATAAAGAATGTGAAAAATAATATCTGCTATCATGTGTGATTTTAATAGTTTATTTAAATTTATTTATTGATAATTGTAACTCGTTACTAGGGACAGAGGAAATCACATTTATATGAATGAACTTAAAATAGGAAGAAACAGTATTTTACTATAAAAGTTCTGGTTTGAACATTGAAAGTTGGCAAAGTATTAAAAACCAATAGGCCTAAAAAAACAAATCATGAAATGGATAAATTAAGAGGAATAAGAAGTAAAAACACCTGCAGTTTATTTGATTGTAATTACATTTTAGAGTTTTGCTATACTTTTATGTATTTGCTCATTAAGAAATGTGCCAATTTCTTCTGTTCTTTAATAAGATTTTATTATGAGAAAATTTGAATTCATCAACAGGTCTTGGAGTTCTTGTTGGCCTTGGAACTCTTTCTCCAAATTCTGATTTCACTACCATGACTACAACGTTTGGTCTTGCAGGCATTGTGGGTAAGTGGAATGTGATACAATGTATATTTATACTCTTTGATTTCCAAGTGAGTATTTGTAATTTTTTTACTGCACTGAGTTTGAGAATGTAATTAATGCAAAGCTCAGAAGTAAATCCATGTTACAAAGACAAAATTGATGGATGCTTATTTGTATTGTGAGTTATGTTACTTAATGATATACGTACACGTGTGTGTGTGTGTATGTTTGTGTACTTTTTTGCCCTAATCTGTGTTTCTATACAGGTAATATTGTTGTGTTTTTTGTTATTTTATCTGTAGCCCATTTGCATTTGGTGCTATTAAATACAGTCTGTTGCTGAAAATCTATCTCTAAACAATTTTGATAAAAGAGTTAGCACAAAGGATCACATATAAAGTGTAATAGACTTAAAACAAGACCAAAAACTCGACGCTTTCGAATAGTTGACTATTCTTCTTCAGGAGAACAAAGAATAGTCAACTATTCGAAAGTGCTCGAGTTTTGGGTCTTATTTTAAGTCTGTCTCTAAACAATGGTATTGATCAATGCTTTTAAGCTAAAAGACAGTCTTTACCCATTAAATGTAATAGGTAGTGCATTATGATGTCTTTCATTACATAAGTAATATTCAGAGTAATTAGAAAAATCATCAGTCTATATAAATGAATTTAGCTCTTTTGTTACTTAGTGATTAAAAGAGGCCTAATGTCCTGCTTCTTGCTTATTTGTTTACATTCTTCAAATTTTAGTAAGTTTTTCAGGATTTCTTATATTTTCCTGTATGGTTTAATAACATAATTAAATTTGTTCTTGTATGCATGAGTTCATAGATGACAGTTATTATTATTATTTTTTTTGAATATTCAATTGTTTGTCCCAGTAAACTTGATATCAATTGATTTTTATTGAAAGCATGTGTGTATATTCAAAGGTATTTTTGGTTTATTTTGCTGTTAGTTTTTCATCTTAAACGGGTATAATTTGTCATTAAGGAACTTTATTTGACTTCACATAGTGAACATTTTCTTGAAATTAAAAAGTCTGTAATTAAGAAGCTAACTTACAATCAACTATTGATATTTATGTTGGTGTTTAAGTTCATTCTCTTTATGCTGTATTTAATTTCATGGAAATGGTTTGTCATTAAAAATAATTTAGTATCACAAATGTCAAATCATTAACTGATTAGGTTTATTTTATTTTTGTTTTTTGGTTAATACGTTTTTTGTATAGTAAAGTACCTTAGTTTTGCACTTACTTATGTGGAGATTTTTTTTAAGTTATGGTTTAGTTATTAAAACTTGTATGATAGGACTCCCTATTATGATGAAATTCTTAAAACCTGTTAACATGCTTTGATTGCTGTTTTTTTTTCTTCTTATGACAAGTGAAGGAGAAATGATTAGACCATCTTTAAAAAGTCATATCTGTTGCTAACATAATATTGTTGAACTAAAGTTATTAACTTATATTTTGTTCCATTATTTAAAGCATGAAAAACAAATGTTAAAAGCTAATGAATTTGATATTTTTTCGTTTTACAAATAGTCTTGCCATTGTTGACATGTAGGGTGTTATGAAGAGTTTGGTTTTACAAAGCTTCTGTAATTAAAATCTTAAAAACTATATGTACTCTGAATTTGATATAAAACATTTTGTGATAATATAACATCCCTTTTTTTTTGTTTCAGGTTATCACACTGTTTGGGGAGTCACTCCAGCCTTACATTCACCCCTTATGTCTGTAACAAATGCCATTTCTGGAATTACTGCAGTGGGAGGATTGGTATTAATGGGAGGAGGAGTCATGCCAAGCAACACAATTGAAACCCTGGCAGCCACGGCTGCTTTCATCTCCACCATCAACATCTGTGGTGGTTTCCTTGTAACCAAAAGGATGCTGGATATGTTCAGACGACCCACAGATCCCCCAGAATACAACTATCTTTATGGAATCCCAGGTATGAAATTATTGATTCATTTAAAAAAATGCCTAAGGAACTACTGTTTTTGAATAAACAAAAATGAGTTCATGTTTCTTTAATATCATAATCAAACGTTAAGAATGCCCTGTAGTCTTGTACAGTCTTTTCAGCTTGATAAGTTTTACAACCCACTGTATTCCATCCACGAAGATGTAAGCAGTATTCAACATCCTGAACAGTTGATAAATGGAAACAAGATCAAACAAGATGACTGCATTAATTCTGAGCTGGTCAAGAAAAAAAATTGGGAATTTTAAAAAATGATAAGGCTCTTGGGCCAGATAATATTTCCCTGAGGGTTTTGAAGGAGGTTAAAGATTGGATATGTGAGCCACTTACTACTATTTTTTGTCAGTTCTTGATTAGTGTGTGGGTACCAGAGGATTGGAAGTTAGCAAATGTAAATCCTTTTTTTAAGGGAGATGATAAACATTGTCCCAGTAATTATAGACCCATTAGT